CCGCAAAGCTATCACTCAAACCATGAAGAAGAACCCTCTTGAGGAGCCTTTCAAAACCATCACTTTACCCTACATTGCTGGGATCACAAAAAAGATCTCCAAAATCTTGAATAAACACAAGATCCAGGTCCGTTTCAACACATTACATAAAATCCGTGATCTGGTTCCGTCTGTAAAAGATGTGATTCCGGACATACAATACCCTGGTGTCTACAAACTAAGTTGCCTCTGTGGTAGTAGTTACATTGGAGAAACCAAACGCCATATCTCGGACCGCATTCGTGAACATAAAGCAGACCTTAAACACGGTAGGACCAACACCTCGGCCGTAGCAGATCATTGTTCTAATTCAGTAGGCTCACATGCCATTGACTTTTCCAAGACGGAGGTTCTTTGTAAGCCATCTGGCTTCCATGAGAGATTCGTTCATGAGGCTATCCACATATACAAAGCACAGAGACAATTTCAACCGAGAAGATGGATTCTATCTTAGCAATCATTGGAAAGATTTGATAAATCATTTCAGTTCTTGATTGATTGTTCACGCTTACAGTGGCTTTCAGACAGCATACATAAAAACAAATTTCGTCTCCCCCCTCCTCTTTTCAAAAAATAGATGGACTAGTCCTGGGCAAACTGCCAATCGTTGCGCGTGACGCAAACGTTATTTTTTATATATATAAATAAATATGCCGTTTTCAAAATAAATTTATGCAAACCGACACACCTGATGATGACCGTTTGAGTTATGGTCGAAACGTCGTGAGAATTTTTTATTGTTTTATATATATTTTGTTATTTTGTTGTTTCTCTTCAACGTGACTTTACCGAAAAAACTAAGAATATGAATTACTGCAGTCACGAAAGCTTTAAATCAAAATTTAATCGCCTCTACGGGGAGGGTTTTCACATAACTTTAAGATCCTTCAACAAACTCCGGGATAAGAAAGCTCAGCTGATCGAGTCTCTCACCTTCCTGAAGAGATGCCGCGACTCTGGGGTAATACCAATCGCATTTACACTCACCTCTGCTACTGTAACTTCTTCTAATGCGAAACGAATTCTTTTCAAAACTAGCTTAGCTCTTATCTCAGAAAAAATCAGACTTATACGCACAGAACTAGATCAGTTAGACAAGACACTCTACAAATCACACTTATCATTGACGGCAATAATGTCCACATCGGATTGGGAACATGTAGACAATATGACTGCCTCTTCAGCTGCTACTATGTCGACCAAATGTAAGGAAAACCTGATTTCCAAATTTAACCTCCTCTTCAACAAAAGACCGGACCCACACACCAAAAAGTTAGACGTTAATAAAGTCGTAATTAATCGCAGTAACAGTTCTATTTCCGATGGTCTGAAATCCGTTTTAGCTAAAGGTCTAAACTTTGCAGTCACACCTAAACACATACCAGTTAATGATATAATTGCCCAAGTAGACGTTGCTCTCAGGGGCCTGGGTCACATCGCTGCAGACGTAGCAAGATCTGAAATCGCTGCAACCCTCAAAAACGCTAAGATGCCAGCTAGCAACCTCAGCAAAGATGAGCGTTTTGAATTATATAAATTAAAAAAGAGGAATGATATTGTAGTTCTCTCAGCTGACAAAGGCAATGCTACTGTCATCATGGATAAAATAGAATACAACAACAAAATTAAAGAATTACTCGACGATGGTAGTTATACAAAAATAAAAAGAGATCCCACCAACAGCCTCGTCACACAAACCAACAAAATAATTTCTGATTCAACCGCATTAATTGATCAATCTAAACAGTTTTCGTTGAAACCTTCTGCTGCCAGGCCACCAAGATTATACGGCTTACCAAAAATACATAAAGTTGATACACCTCTTCGTCCCATAGTCTCTACTATCAGCTCCCCCACCTACAAACTAGCTCGTTTTTTGTCTGAAATCCTGCGTCCTTTCACTGGAAAGACCACCTCTGCGGTACAAAATTCTACTCACCTGGTATCAACAATCAAGGGTATTTCCCTGTCCCCAGACGACCTGCTTGTCAGTTTTGATGTAGTTTCCTTATTCACCAAGGTTCCTGTACCTGACACCATTGCAATCATTGAAGACTTGGTTCATCAAGGACTAAACACTGAGGTACCCCCCCTGGTGAGACACTGTTTAACCAATACATACTTCACTTGGAATGGAACTTTCTACAAACAAACTGAGGGCACCCCAATGGGCTCCCCCCTTTCTCCAGTTATAGCTAACATTTTCATGGAGAAATTTGAGACTGACGCCATCCAGACTGCCACTCTGCGCCCAACCTTATGGAAGAGGTACGTGGATGACACTTTTGTCATCTGGCCACATGGCCGGCCTGCTCTAGACCAATTCTTCGACCACATCAATTCCATACACCCAGCCATCAGATTTACCATGGAAGTCGAAATAGATGGCAAGATACCTTTTTTGGATGTCCTAATTAAAAAGAGACCTGATGGTTCAATGAGCCACTCTGTCTACAGGAAAGCTACCCATACGGATGCTTATCTGAAACCGGATTCCCACCACCATCCATCACAGAAGAATTCTCTCATCAAGACTCTGTATCATAGAGCCCAATGCATATCCGACCAGGAACACATAAGCAGTGAACTCAAGCACGTACACCAAGCTCTTAGGGCTAATGGTTACTCCGACTATACAATCCGCAAAGCTATCACTCAAACCATGAAGAAGAACCCTCTTGAGGAGCCTTTCAAAACCATCACTTTACCCTACATTGCTGGGATCACAAAAAAGATCTCCAAAATCTTGAATAAACACAAGATCCAGGTCCGTTTCAACACATTACATAAAATCCGTGATCTGGTTCCGTCTGTAAAAGATGTGATTCCGGACATACAATACCCTGGTGTCTACAAACTAAGTTGCCTCTGTGGTAGTAGTTACATTGGAGAAACCAAACGCCATATCTCGGACCGCATTCGTGAACATAAAGCAGACCTTAAACACGGTAGGACCAACACCTCGGCCGTAGCAGATCATTGTTCTAATTCAGTAGGCTCACATGCCATTGACTTTTCCAAGACGGAGGTTCTTTGTAAGCCATCTGGCTTCCATGAGAGATTCGTTCATGAGGCTATCCACATATACAAACACAGAGACAATTTCAACCGAGAAGATGGATTCTATCTTAGCAATCATTGGAAAGATTTGATAAATCATTTCAGTTCTTGATTGATTGTTCACGCTTACAGTGGCTTTCAGACAGCATACATAAAAACAAATTTCGTCTCCCCCCTCCTCTTTTCAAAAAATAGATGGACTAGTCCTGGCAAACTGCCAATCGTTGCGCGTGACGCAAACGTTATTTTTATATATATAAATAAATATGCCGTTTTCAAAATAAATTTATGCAAACCGACACACCTGATGATGACCGTTTGAGTTATGGTCGAAACGTCGTGAGAATTTTTTATTTTTTTATATATATTTTGTTATTTTGTTGTTTCTCTTCAACGTGACTTTACCGAAAAAACTAAGAATATGGTATTGATGATGTTAGCTGGTATTGATGATGTTAGCTGGTATTGACGATGTTAGCTGGCTATTGATGATGTTAGCTGGTATTGATGATGTTAGCTGGTATTGATGATGTTAGCTGGTATTGATGATGTTAGCTAGCTATTGATGATGTTAGCTAGCTATTGATGATGTTAGCTGGCTATTGACGATGTTAGCTGGTGTTGATGATGTTAGCTGGTATTGATGATGTTAGCTGGTATTGATGATGTTAGCTAGCTATTGATGATGTTAGCTAGCTATTGATGATGTTAGCTGGCTATTGACGATGTTAGCTGGTGTTGATGATGTTAGCTGGCTATTGACGATGTTAGCTGGTATTGATGATGTTAGCTGGCTATTGACGATGTTAGCTGGTATTGATGATGTTAGCTGGTATTGATGATGTTAGCTGGTATTGATGATGTTAGCTGGCTATTGACGATGTTAGCTGGCTATTGACGATGTTAGCTGGTATTGATGATGTTAGCTGGCTATTGACGATGTTAGCTGGTATTGATGATGTTCGCTGGTATTGATGATGTTAGCTGGCTATTGACGATGTTGCTGATACTCGCAACTGCTTTTCCAGTTTTGCTCTCCCAGATTTATTGAATTTCGAGTCTCCGCCAGCGGTTGCCTTTTGCAGGGCCAGAGACCAAATTACTTCGCGGGCCTCATACGGCCCGGGTTTAACACAGCACCTGTGTTATTGTCAGAAAGGGTGAAACTATTCTTACGTTTCATACTTTGATCCCGGCAACAAAGGCACCCCACGCTACAACTGCTCACCCCGACCTAGAATTGATCCGATGCCTGTGGCATTGTCCTGGTGCTGTCCGCCTTGAGGCGTTGCTCTGTGTGTGGTTCATGCAGTCTTTGATTCGTTGCAAAAGGTTTCATCTATTTGGGTGTTTGGGGCCTTCCATAAATGACGTCACGTACCTGGGGGGTGGGGCGGGGGGGGTCAGACGTTTGTGACGATGTGTGACGAGGGGGGGGGGGGGGGGTTTGAGAAATGTGACGTCACATCAAAATGTGCAACTTTATAAATAAATACAGACAACACGTTCTAACTTAATTAAATAGACTTGTTAATAAATGTGTTCTCCCACAACATCAGAGTGCAGTGGCCACATTAAATACGCACTACAATGACAACAATAGTTTAAAGCGATTTGAAGCATGTTTTATATATTTGGGGGAGGGGGGGGCAGAGCTTTGTGACGTCATATTTGAGGGGGGGGGTCTCACTTTTTGTGACGCCGCGTGACGAGGGGGGTGGGGGGGGGGTCCAAAATCGTCCAAAATCGTGTGACGTCATTTATGGACGGCCCCTTTGGACATCTTAAAACACCTCCTGTTGTGGTATTGATAGAAAGGGTAGAACCCCGTTCTTAGTCACCATATCATCATCGTAGCAATAATCATCGTCCCAATTGTAATTCTACCGTCCGTGTTGCAGACCAGGCGCTAGCGTCACGTGGCTCTCCGGCTCCAGGCCAAGAAAGTCCGATCCAGGTTTTGATCGACGACGCTCCGGGCCTGCCGCGATCCGGGGGCCGCTCCACGGCGACTCCGCTCCGCGCTTTGCCGACCGCAGCCCCAGAAGTCTGGTCAACAGCCGCTCCACCCCGGTTGACGACGAAACCTGTCGCGCTGTCAACAGTTGCTCCAGTCCAGTCAACAGCTGATCCAGCCCAGTTTGAACAAAGTCCAGCCCAGTCAACAGCTGATCCAGTCCGATCAACAGTTGCTCCAGTCCAGTTTGAACAAAGTCCAGCCCAGTCAACAGCTGATCCAGTCCGGCCAACAGTTGCTCCAATCCGTTCAACAATTGCTCCAGTCCAGTCAACAGATGATCCAGCCCAGTTTGAACAAAATCCAGCCCAGTTTGAACAAAGTCCAGCCCGGTCAACAGCTTATCCAGTCCGGTCAACAGTTGCTCCAATCCGTTCAACAATTGCTCCAGCCCAGTCAACAGCTGATCCAGCCCAGTTTGAACAAAGTCCAGCCCAGTCAACAGCTGATCCAGTCCGGTCAACGGTTGTTCCAATCCGTTCAACAATTGCTCCAGCCCAGTCAACAGACGATCCAGCCCAGTTTGAACAAAGTCCAGCCCAGTCAACAGCTGATCCAGTCCGGTCAACGGTTGCTCCAATCCGTTCAACAATTCCTCCAGTCCAGTCAACAATTGCTCCAGTCCAGTCAACATCCGATGCTCCACTCCAGTTTGAACAAAGTCCAGTCCCGTCGCAGAGAGATCCGTTTCTGTCAACGGCCGCGCCGGTCCATTGGAAACCAACTCCGGTCCGGCCAACACCGACGGAGGCCTCAGCCCCGCGGGGGCGTCCCGGTGCACGCCGGAAGACCCGAGTGGAGGTCCAGGAGCCGGAGTTCCCGGTGCCGCGGCCGAGAGGAGGTGGAGGCGAAGATGGTGACGAGGTGGCTGGTGGCGGGAGGGTGGCGGCCGTAGTCGCACTGGGAGGTGTCAGCCTGACGTCGGGGGCCTGGCTGATCACGTTCGCTCTCAAGCGGCGCAAGTCCGGTGAGTCTTAGGGATGGTTCCACTAAGAACGGTGCGAGCCCTTCTCAATTTGCATCTATCTATATAAATATGTGTGTGTCTGTTCGAAATGTTTAGCATACTTCCCGACATGCAACAAACTTGAAATTTGGCATGTGGGCAGCTTCCAGACTGTACACAATGCAAAAAGTATAAAAATAGACTTTTGTATATTTTTTGGGGGGGAGGGGAGCAATAAGGGTTGTATTTTACACGGCAAGTGAGCCGTGACGTCACATCTGTGATGTCACCCGCATGCGGCAGCGTCACGCTGTGTGCATGCTGACGTCACGCATCCCCCCCACCCACCCTCCACGTAGGCCTGTATCCCGCACAAATGCGCGGCTGGGGGATGGGGGTAAATAATGTGTATCATATACTAGGCAAACTTAAAATTTCAATTCTAGATTTGAAGCTTTCGTGACTGCAAGGATCCATGCTCTTTGGTTCTATTCGGTAAAGTCACGTGGGTAAAAAAATAAAACAACAAAAATCACGACGTTTCGGCCACAACACAAGCGGCCTTCATCAGGTGAAGGGACCAGACTGTCTCACCTGATGAAGGCCGCTTGTGTTGTGGCCGAAACGTCGTGATTGTTGTTGTTTTTTTTTACCTACGTGACTTTACCGAATAGAACCAAAGAGTATAAACTTAAAATTTGGCATGTGGTTAGCTCCCGTACTGTACACAATGTAAAACGTATAAAAAATTTGACTTTTTCTATTTGGGGGGGGGGGGGAATAATGGATATAATATATTGCACAAGTGAGCGGTGACGTCACATCTGTGATGTCACCCGCACGCGGGTAGCGTCACGCAGTGTGCCTGCTGACGTCACGCTGTGTGCCTGCTGACGTCACGCACCCCCCACCCACCCTCCACGTAGGCCGTGTGTCCCGCACAAATGCGCGGCTGGGCTGTCTCGATTTTCAAAGTCAACGCGACTAATTTCAGCTCGCTGTTAAATATAACGCAGGAAATCCATAAAGCAGGAAATCCACCCGTGTGTGTGTGTGTGGAGCAGCAGCAACTCTCGAACGCTGAGCTCGGGAGTCGTGAAATTAGCGCGGCTTCTGCTGCTGCCTGGAATCCCGAAGGGAAACGCGACAATTTTCAGCTCACGCTCTGGTTCCATTCGGTAAAGTCACGTAGGTTAAAATACAAAACAACACAAAAATCACGACGTTTCGGCCTCAACACGAGTGGCCGAAACGTCGAGATTTTTGTTGTTGTTTTGTATTTTTACCCACGTGACTTTGCCGAATAGAGCCAAAGAGTAGTGGATCATTGCAGTCACGAAAGCTTCAAATCTAGAATTTTCAGCTCGCCACGCCAATCCCCTGCCGAGTTGCCTAACGCGACCACACGTATAAAGTGGGTTAAGGTTGAATTTCCTTCAGTGAAAAACATCCGATTCACTTCGATCCATTTGTTTCGGCTTGTTTTTTTTCGTATTGCAAGCATCAATTGTTTCAGGCTTGATGAGATTAATCCAAGACAGAAGTCCCGGGCGAAGCCGGCTAGTCTCAAGCTAGTTTGAGATTTATTTGTTTCTAACTGTGGTAAGGTCCCGGACGAACTGATGCGTGTCTCGTTGTCGAGTAACCACCCGGCCATCGCAAATGATAGCGGCTCATCCAAGTTGTTGGGTCATCATCGTCGTCATCGTGTGGAAATGTGCAGCAGCAGCAGCAGACAAATAACTCGTGACGGTGTTGACTCTAAATGTGGAGGGGACACACAGTGGAAAGAGACACGCAGACTCCAAATCTACAGCAGCAGCAGCAGGCATCGTCAGGGTCGGGATCAAACTCACGTCCTCCTGCCTACCAGGCGAGGTAGTTAACATCTCATAGCCACCGTGATGATGATGATGATGAGAGAGAGACGCAGATTCCAAATATACAGCAGCAGGCATCGTCAGGGTCGGGATCGAACCCACGTGCTCCTGCCTACCAGGCGAGGTAGTTAACATCCCCTAGCCACCGTGATGATGATGATGAGAGAGAGAGACGCAGACTCCACATATACAGCAACAGGCATCGTCAGGGTCGGGATCGAACCCACGTGCTCCTGCCTACCAGGCGAGGTAGTCAACATCCCCTAGCCAACGTGATGCCTGTATGCCACGCGTGTCACGCAAGCGTGATGACACACGCGCGTGGCCCTCTCATGGATATTTTAAAGCTCATATTTAATTCACGGAAAGCCCTTAGTGACTCAATCATAAGGACGCTTTCATCTTTCACATTTTAAATATGCATCGCCTCTCCCCCCGCTCCCCACCCTCTCCCCCCTCTATCCCCCCTCCCCTCTCTTCCATAGGCTCCTTCTTCTTGCAGCACAATCAAACGCGGTGACGTCAACACTTCTGAGAATTCCGATTTCGAACGAAAAAAAAAGTTATTTCGCAGAGAGAGAGAGCGAAAGAGAGAAGGAGAGAGGGAGAGTCTAATTATAGCGGTTAACGTATTAGAGGGAGAGTCTAATTATAGCGGTTAACGTATTGACACTGCAACGCTGCAACGCCTCGCTCGTTCACTCACTCACTCACCCGTGCCCCGCCTTTCCCACTGGTGAACCGAACCGTGCCAGGGCTGGCCCCCTGGCACGACACACACACGGGTGGTGGTGGTGGTGGTTGCTTTGTTATTTTTTTTTCCACTGCGGCCGCTTGCCGAACCGAGCTGGTACTCGTCCAAACGGCGCAGCCCACGCGCGTCTCCGCTTGGCCACCGCGCGTGGTGACGTCGGCACGGCACGGCTCGGCTTGCGCAGTGGAAAAACGACAACAACAACAACCCGAGCCATGGCGGGGCCGGCTCATCGCGTGCACGGCTCTGAGTCTCAAGACGCGGTCAGGAGGCTGCTGCCACTGCCGCGGCATTGACGATGCTTGGCCATGAGACGTTGGGAAGCCGGAGGATCCCAGAGAACCCTGGGAGGACCCCCGGAGGACCCCCGAAGGACTCCCGGAAGACTCCCAGAGAACCCCCAGAGACCCCCACACAACCCCCACAGAACCCCCAAAGATCCCCCACAGAACCCCCAGAGACCCCCACAGAACCCCGAAAGAACCCCCACAGAACCCCCAGAGAACCCCCAGAGACCCCCACAGAACCCCTCAGAACCCCCAGAGACCCCCACAGAACCCCCAGAGAACCCCGCACAGAACCCCCAGAGAACCCCCAGAGAACCCCCAGAGACGCCCACAGAACCCCTCAGAACCCCCAGAGAACCCCCCACAGAACCCCCCACAGAACCCCCCAGAGAACCCCCACAGAACCCCCACAGAACCCCCAGAGAACCCCACAGAACCCCCAGAGGACCCCCCACAGAACCCCCACAGAACCCCCAGAGACCCCCCACAGAACCCCCAGAGACCCCCCACAGAACCCCCAGAGACCCCCACAGAACCCCTCACAGAACCCCCAGAGACTCCCACAGAACCCCCAGAGACCCCCACAGAGACCCCCACAGAACCCCCAGAGAACCCCCAGAGACCCCCACAGAACCCCCAGAGACCCCCACAGAACCCCCACAGAACCCCGAAAGAACCCCCACAGAACCCCCACAGAACCCCCAGAGAACCCCACAGAACCCCCACAGAACCCCCAGAGACCCCCCACAGAACCCCCAGAGACCCCCCACAGACCCCCCACAGGCCCCCCCAGAGACCCCCAGAGAACCCCCAGAGACCCCCAGAGAACCCCCAGAGACCCCTCACAGAACCCCCTCAGAACCCCCAGAGACCCCCACAGAACCCCCAGAGACCCCCCACAGAACCCCCACAGAACCCCCAGAGACCCCCACAGAACCCCCAGAGACCCCCACAGAACCCCCAGAGAACCCCCCACAGAACCCCCATATCACTGTAGGCCTACAACACCCGGCAACCCCACCCCTACCCCCGCCCGGTGCTGGTCGCCCTTCCAGGACCAGGGCCAAGCTCAAGAGCGGGGGAGGGGGGCGGCGTGGTGTATGCTGGGTGGCGGGGTGCATTCTGGGTGATTTGTTCGTTTGTAATAAATGTGAAATTTATTTTATCCAAAAAAGACCGCACCGTCCTGTACATGTGTTCAATGTGACATTACATCGTGGGCATCTCGTGAGTAGAGTGGATCCCCCGTCGTGATAACGTGGAATTTCCAGCATTGGCTCAGGACCGCCGACAATGGACGCCTCTGGTCAAACACACAACGGGGCCCGCGGAAGTGGACATCACAGAGCTACCTCTGAGATCCCTTCCTTCTTCAAGTGACCCTGTGGTCAAACACGTCGCAGAGAGCGGCGCCTTCCCACCCGCTCTGCCATGCGAGAGTAAATTCTCGTCACGTGCCACTCGAGTCGATGCGTCTCTGTGCGTGAGTCGATGAGTCAGTCGTCAACTGGCTGCACCTTGCTGTGTGCACGTGGTCCCGTGCACGTCCGTGGCACAGACTGTGCATTGCGCATTGCAACCGTGCATCACAACCGTGAATCACAACCGTGCATCACAACCGTGCATCACAACCGTGCATCACAACAGTGCATCACAACTGTGCATTGCAATCGTGCATTGAAATCGTGCATCACAACCGTGCATCACAACCGTGCATCGCGACCGTGCATCGCAACCGTGCATCACAACAGTGCATTGCAATCGTGCATTGAAATCGTGCATCACAACCGTGCATCACAACCGTGCATCGCGACCGTGCATCGCAACCGTGCATCACAACAGTGCATCACGACCGTGCATCGCGACCGTGCATCACAACAGTGCATCACAACCGTGCATCGCGACCGTGCATCGCAACCGTGCATCACAACAGTGCATCACAACAGTGCATCACAACCGTGCATCACAACAGTGCATCACAACCGTGCATCACAACAGTGCATCACAACCGTGCATCACAACAGTGCATCACAACCGTGCATCACAACAGTGCATCACAACCGTGCATCACAACCCTGCATCACAACCCTGCATCACAACCCTGCATCACAACCGTGCATCACAACCCTGCATCACAACCGTGCATCACAACCGTGCATCACAACCCTGCATCACAACCGTGCATCACAACCGTGCATCACAACCCTGCATCACAACCGTGCATCACAACCGTGCATCACAACCCTGCATCGCAACCGTGCATCGCAACCCTGCATCGCAACCGTGCATCACAACCGTGCATCACAACCGTGCATCACAACCGTGCATCACAACCGTGCATCACAACCCTGCATCACAACCGTGCATCACAACCGTGCATCACAACCGTGCATCGCAACCGTGCATCGCAACCCTGCATCGCAACCGTGCATCACAACCGTGCATCACAACCGTGCATCACAACCCTGCATCACAACCCTTCATCACAACCCTGCATCACAACCGTGCATCACAACCGTGCATCACAACCGGGCATCACAACCCTGCATCACAACCCTGCATCACAACCGTGCATCACAACCGGGCATCACAACCGTGCATCACAACCCTGCATCACAACCGTGCATCACAACCGTGCATCACAACCCTGCATCGCAACCGTGCATCGCAACCCTGCATCGCAACCGTGCATCACAACCGTGCATCACAACCCTGCATCACAACCGTGCATCACAACCGTGCATCACAACCCTGCATCACAACCGTGCATCACAACCGTGCATCACAACCGTGCATCGCAACCGTGCATCGCAACCCTGCATCGCAACCGTGCATCACAACCGTGCATCACAACCGTGCATCACAACCCTGCATCACAACCGTGCATCACAACCGTGCATCACAACCGTGCATCACAACCGTGCATCACAACCGTGCATCGCAACCGTGCATCACAACCCTGCATCACAACCGTGCATCACAACCGTGCATCACAACCCTGCATCACAACCGGGCATCACAACCGTGCATCGCAACCCTGCATCACAACCGTGCATCACAACCGTGCATCACAACCGTGCATCACAACCGTGCATCACAACCCTGCATCACAACCGTGCATCACAACCGTGCATCACAACCGTGCATCACAACCGTGCATCACAACCGTGCATCCCAACCGTGCATCACAACCCTGCATCACAACCGTGCATCACAACCGTGCATCACAACCCTGCATCACAACCGTGCATCACAACCGTGCATCACAACCCTGCATCGCAACCGTGCATCGCAACCCTGCATCGCAACCGTGCATCACAACCGTGCATCACAACCCTGCATCACAACCGTGCATCACAACCGTGCATCACAACCCTGCATCACAACCGTGCATCACAACCGTGCATCACAACCGTGCATCTCAACCGTGCATCGCAACCCTGCATCGCAACCGTGCATCACAACCGTGCATCACAACCGTGCATCACAACCCTGCATCACAACCGTGCATCACAACCGTGCATCACAACCGTGCATCACAACCGTGCATCACAACCGTGCATCGCAACCGTGCATCACAACCGTGCATCACAACCGTGCATCACAACCGTGCATCACAACCCTGCATCACAACCGGGCATCACAACCGTGCATCGCAACCCTGCATCACAACCGTGCATCACAACCGTGCATCACAACCGTGCATCACAACCGTGCATCGCAACCGTGCATCACAACCCTGCATCACAACCGTGCATCACAACCGTGCATCACAACCCTGCATCACAACCGTGCATCGAAGAGCGGTGCCACTGCAATCCGAGGCCGTGCCGCGTGCTCGCCGGTGACGCGTCCGGCGCGTCACGTGATGTAGAGACCACGTGGTGGGCGGGGCTGTCGTCGAGTCCTCTGGGGCAACCACGGCCCGTCACTGCCAGCTGCCGGACCAGAGGAGCTGCTGCTGCCCCTGTGGTCACCACACACGGACACAATGACAAAGAGCCCCCACGAGGGTGGTGAGTGGCCAACACCACGCCCGGTCGCCTTTGTCTCCCCCAGTGCTGGCGATGTTTACTACGCACCGCACCAGGTGCTCACTTGAGGCTGAGTCGACCTAGGGGAGGCCCAAGGCCGGTTCAGATAATCGTCGCAGGTGGTGTTGGCCGTGAGCGCAGCGCGCTAACCGCTACACTACCGCTCCCCCTACTGCTATCACCACACACGGACACACACACACGGACACACACACGGACACACACACGGACACACGGACAACAACAACCGCCATTCGCCACTAAGTGGCGGTGACGTCACCACGACGCTTGTGCCAGGCCATGTGCACCCTTAGGCCACGTGAAGTGTCGAACGCCCGCTGGCAGGAGGTCACGGGGCAGACCCAGGTGCCACGGGTCGACTGACTGAGATGACTGGCTGATGCACCACCTGTGCCCCCTACTGTGCCAACCTGCTGTGCTTTAGCCACCCGGCGCTCCGCTCGTTGTTGTGAGCGTCGCTCCTCCGCCCTCCGTTGTTGTTGGAGGGTGACTGCCTCCAACTGCCCAGTAGCATCCTTCACGAGCCTCCTCCACAGAGGCCGATCTTGACACCGCTGGTACCAGTCATCGGCAAGTCCACTCAGCTCCACGTCCTCCTGTACCACATCACTCCATCTCTTCTCTAGCCCGTGCCGCGCCCGTTTAGCCCCCTCGATCCGGCCGAACAGAAGCTGTTACGGCATGCGGTGGCTGGGCATGCGGGTTACATGACCCAGCCAACGCAGCCTTGCCCGCCGGAGGAGCTCACCGATGGGACCTTGCCCAGATCACGGACACACACACGGACACACACACACACGGACACACACACACGGACACACACACACGGACACACACACACACACGGACACACACACACGGACACGCGCGCGGGGATTCTCATTCTCTGGCCTCGTCGTGTTTCGATCGACGTTGCCTCGCCATGGACACAGCGTGCTTGCGCGTGTCAGAGATCACGTGTCAGTGATCACGTATCAGAGATCACGTATCAGAGTACACGTATCTGAGTACGCGTTGCCCGGGCGACACGGAACCTCGCCCGGTAGGCAGGAGGTCATGGGTTCGATCCCGACCCTGTCAATGCCTGCTGCTGCTGGTGTAGATTTG